TCCATCATCTACACAATACCGGTCCAGCTTCTGAGCACAGCTTGGCTCTTGGATGCCTCCCTCTTCCCTCTCTCACCACTTTTGCCCAAGCGCTCTGGGTTCCAGCCTTACAGTACCGCTTGCTGCCTTTACACACGCTGCTGCCTTTTCCATATCGTCTTTTCCCTCTTATTTTTGGTATGCCACCTTTTTGTCCTTTAAGATTAAATTCAGAAACTTCCTTGACCCATCTCATTCTATGTTAGCTACTTTTGAGATAAACTATAACTCTATCATTAACACTTATCACATCTATTTCTCTATATCCACCGCTTTATCTAAAAGAAGCTCTTTGAAGACAGGAATCATATCTTTTTATATTCCCTGGGGTCCATCACAGTACTTGTACTTAATACGTTTTGGTGAATGTGCAGTTGTCTTCTATTGCTTATGCAACCAACCAGCAATATGTCTATGGACATATCAATTGACTGGATCCAATTATCTACTGCAAGCCCACTGGCCTCACACTATGCTCCATCCAAACAAAAAACTTGTATTTGTTTTTTTTTCCTTTTTGTCTTTTTTCGTGTCCGGCAATGGATTGCAACCCTCAGTGTCGCGCCCGCACCGGACCGGGACCGGCAACGGGATCGCAACCCTCGGTATTGCTCCCGCACCTCGCTCAGCCAGTGAGCGGGAACCGGTCTGTATGTGGGATCTGAACCCTCAGTGGGAGCGCCGCCGCGCTCCCAAGCGGCGCACTGTAGCAGTGCGCCACCGGGCCGGCCCAAAAAACTTGTATTTTCTAATGCTAATGTTTTTTCCAGTGTCATTTAGAACTTAACCTTTTGAAATTATTTCTATTTTTCAGCAGTGTCATGTACCGTTTTTATCTAATTTCCCAAAGTTTCTTTCAACCTTATAGCATTTTCTAAGACTTCCTCACAATTATAATATTTTGCCAAATATTAGGATTAGTCAGCTATTCACCTAATTCTATATGCTACGTCATAAACTGCTTTATAGTAAGCACTATGCTCTTTTCGTCTTTATCTCTTTTAAATAATACTGTTCCTGGAGCATCAAAAAAACTCAACGTCAAATTAATGAGAATCTGTGTTACAATGGACACCAGAACACAGTGCAACAGAACTTGGATAGCAAAACTGTAAGCCTATGCAGAAGAATCTTTTACTCTGCATTTAGCAATATTCTTTTATAACCACTATACTGAGATGTAACTTTCCAGTTTACCGGCAATTCTTTCCTTGACCCCTAACCCTTCAATCAACTTACTTTATATTCTCATTTGCAGGTACTTCGGGCAGTTGCACAGTAATCATGCCATCCAAATTGGTCTTCCCAATGAAGGCAGGCTTGGTACGTAGTACATCTGGTGCGGTCTTCGCTGTCACTCTGTGCTGCAGCCCACCAGCACTGTTTCCACGATTTGTCAGTACAAATGAGTATGACTTCTCAGGTTTCAAGTTGACAATTAACTTCTGTGTGGCTCGGCCATCCACTTCTTCTACCATTTTCCCATCATCATAAAGAATCTAAAGAGATACAACCAATCAGACAAGTCTGGCAATCAGAGAGGCAAAATGTATTTTCTAAATCAATGTGCACCTGCTTATGGAAAATATATATCAAGTCAATTCTAATTAGGGGAGATTCCTAAGCTGATATGTGTTCATAATCTAGAAACTGTTGGTTTTTACTGTGTGATGACATAATGTTTCTAAGTCTATTACAAATACACAAAGAAGTATACAAGAGCTTTTCAATATTTGACCTGTCGCTTGTATGTGATGTTAATGAACTGTGTACAGAAGTGGCCTAAGTTTTCAATATATTACCCCCAATACTTTTTTCTAAGGATTTTAATTCCTCTTCCTAAATATATTTTTACTTTCAACACTGTTTCTCTACTCCTTATTTCATAAGCCTGTACTTCTTGCTAACATCTCTCAATATGTCTTGATGGCAAACCAGGGTTTAAAATGTGCCAAGAACTCAGACCAATAAACAAAATGAAAAACTTCAAGGATATTGCATTATACATAGGTAGAAACCATATAAAGTTCATTCTCTGGTGGAAAAACAAAAGCACTAGCTTAGATGTAAAAACTTCAAGTTCAAAGTAGTGGGTAATTTATGCCATGCCTAGGTTTGAACTCTTGCCCCTCTTTAGAGTGGAAAGGTCACACTGCCAAAGCACAAAACTCAATCTCTTGTGTGAAAGTCACAGATGAGAATAGCAAGTACCTGTGGCTGAAATCAAAGTGGTCCCTATGCTCTGCAGATGACTTGCCCAGATGAACTGTTCCCTCCACTTTACCCCTGATATCTTACAAATTAGAAAACTTACTTTGAAAGGCATGGCGGAATTATAATTCTCTGGAATCTCCCAAGACAGCAAGACTGAAGTCTTCATTACTGCTTTGACATGAAAATTTTTTGCAAACACTGCTGGAAAAGGAAAAACAGTGTATTTAAACTATTCCTAAAAACATATGACCTGTCCTTTTCCACCACGGACCACAGTGCCTGTGCTACGTACTGTCTACTTCGATCACAGAGAAAAGTGTGATTTGCCTACCTGCATAGAGCATTAATCTTAATACCCCATTCTCATAAAGAGCTCTCCTTTCTTTCCAATTCAGTCAACTATATTATGTTTTCCTTACCTGAGAACATTGGGGTGCTGTCAGCCAGACTTGCTCGACATTCTATAACTGAAATCTAAGGCATCCAAAATGTGGTAAGTTTTACATACTTTACCTTTTTGTTTTTGCTGAACCTATTAATATGAATGGGCCGATCAGTTATGTATAGCTTCAAAATACTGATTTCCAAAGACTGAAATTCCTTTAAAGGAGGAAGGCCATAAGCAGACAAATCCTACCTTGATCCACAGGCAGTGTCCTGAACTGGACACTGGGACTATATGGCCCGGGCCCTTTGCTCGTGTGAGCACGTACTTTTACATCATATGTGGTATCTGGTTTTAAGCCAGTGAGTGTCATAATGGTGTCAGCGGGAACAATAAGCTGCTCCATTGGCAGAAGGGGGATGTTGATATCCCTATACAGAAGGGTATACTTGGTGATCATGCCATTTCTCTCTGCCAGGACAGGTGGCTGCCAAGATAACTGCACGGAGGTTGAAGTGATGCCTTCTGAGTGGAGGTTTTGAGGGAATCCAGTTGGCACTTCTTCAGGAACAGAAATCTCCTTCACTATCTCCTCCCCAAAGCCCACTTTGTTTCTGGCGGAGAGCCTGAAGACATACGATGCTCCTTTGTGGATGTCTGTAGCTGTAAAGTGATCTTCTTTCTCAGAGAACTCAAGAGTAGTGAGAGGCTCCAGATCCTTGCGGCCGTATTTTAGACGGTAGCCCTGAAGGGGTCCAAATGTGTCCACAGGTGGGTGCCACTGAACGAGAGCGGTGTTCATCTGAGTGTGGTTAATCACAAGCCGTGGTTTTCCTGGAACTGAAGCAAATGGGAGACAGCGGTAAGATCAAGACATGGCACATTCACATTTCGGTCATTGTCAAATGGGAGGACTGCTCTACTGGTATCCCCACTTTGTCATTTACTTTTTAAAAAAATGCCACATGCCTCTGTGGAAATATGTTCCTCTTATTTATTAAGTTCGGCTGAAATACTAGAATTTGATAATGGACACAAAATAGAATTTATCATTGAAACAACAATTTAAAACAATTTTTTTTAACATTGTCATGTTTTCAACATTCACACACAAAAATTCATGCCACAGAAAAATGAATCTGGGTAAAAATTAGCCAATTAGATACAGCTCATAAGGATAATAATTATGACGATTACTTATGAAGGATGTGCAATGTAGCAGGTGCTTTGCTAAGATTATTGCAGGTAGAATCTCATCTAATTTACACATTCTGCACTCATTCTATGCTCCGAGTTGTCATTGTCTCCATG